TAAGAAGGTAAACCTGAAGCTTCATGAGTAAATTACAAACAATCTTGAAGTAAACCCAAATATCCTTAGGTATAGGTATATGGAAAAGCCACTGAGAGGTCTCAAAGGTAAACAGCATTCAACAACATTTTTAGTAAACAACAGAACAAACAAGAAAAGTAAAGGTAGAATAGGTTACAGAACAAAACATTTCACAGCTGGAAAATTACCAGTAAGACAGACTGAACAAATGACAGTCAAAATAAGTTCTTTGGGCTTGTCCTTTACAAACAAATAATTGCTAAAGTGATGAGGAATCACTGGAGTGTAAAATGAACAAAAACCATGAGCAAATGTTTTTTTCTTTATGGCATTTTAAGTAGATCTCAGCTCAAGATAAGCAGTAATACTGTTAACTGTTTATATTTCATAGCATCATAGAATTACAATTGTAAAGGACCTTAAAGATCATCAGAATGTAACCTTCCTGCTATAAGCAGGGACACCTCACACTAGACCAGGCTGTACAAAGCCTCATCCAGCCTGGCCTTAACTCCAGGGATGGGGCTTCTACAACCTCCCTAGGCAACTTATTCCAGCACCTTACTGCTCTCACGGCAAAGATTTTTTTCCTGATGTCTAACCTAAATATACCCTCTTTCAGTTTAAAACCACTACCCCTTGTCCTATCACTACATACCCTAGTGAAAAGCCCCTCCTCAGCTTTTCCAGGTATTGGAAGGCTGCTATAAGGTCTTCCCAGAGACTTCTCCTCTCCAGGCTGAACAGCCCAAACACTCTTAGCAGAAGCATTTTCCACAAATTATTCTGAAATTGAATTAAACTTAGGGGGGAAAAAAGCTAATCAAGACTTCTGTATTCAATGACAGGATTTCTTTCTAGAAGATGGAAAAAAATGAAAACTGGGATGCAGCGCAATGGATGGCATGTTCGCTGACATTCTTTTTAGCAAAAAGTCTCAAACCTAACTGTTGGGGTTTGAGACAACATGACAACAAAAGGAACAGCTACACAGCCACTCACTCAATTCCCCCTTCCACACACACACACTGGGATGAGGAGGACAAAGCTCATGGGTTGAGACAAAGGATAAGGAGGGTTCTTCACTGATTAAGGTCCCAGGCAAAACAGACTCAACTTGGAGAAAAATAATTTCATTTCACACTAATCAAACACACACAGGACACAGACAACACAAAGAACAGGTCTTGCTTATGTTACCCCACCCCTCCTTTCTTCCCCTAGGCCCAAATCACTTTGTTCCTGGTTTCTCTCCCTCCTTCCCCGCAGCGGCACAGGGGGACAGGGGATGGGGTTTAGAGTCAGTTCACAGGCTGGTGGTTCTTGCTGTGCCATTCTCTTGAGGAAGAAAGAAGGGCATCTTCTTCTCTTTCTTCCTCACCAAACATCAGCACTGCTCTTCTCCACCCAAGTGCCTCTCTGCTCAGGTGTTACAGCTGTTCTTTCATATGTTAATCACTGCGGTGCATCTATTGTTCCTCTAACAGCTCTTTGGCTGGAGTTTCTCAGCTTCTTACCAGACCCACTCCTGTGGCCCTTTCCCTGTTACCAAAAAACATTTTAAGTAGATCTCAGCTCAAGATAAGCAGTAATACTGTTAACTGTTTATATTTCATAGCATCATAGAATTACAATTGTAAAGGACCTTAAAGATCATCAGAATGTAACCTTCCTGCTATAAGCAGGGACACCTCACACTAGACCAGGCTGTACAAAGCCTCATCCAGCCTGGCCTTAACTCCAGGGATGGGGCTTCTACAACCTCCCTAGGCAACTTATTCCAGCACCTTACTGCTCTCACGGCAAAGATTTTTTTCCTGATGTCTAACCTAAATATACCCTCTTTCAGTTTAAAACCACTACCCCTTGTCCTATCACTACATACCCTAGTGAAAAGCCCCTCCTCAGCTTTTCCAGGTATTGGAAGGCTGCTATAAGGTCTTCCCAGAGACTTCTCCTCTCCAGGCTGAACAGCCCAAACACTCTTAGCAGAAGCATTTTCCACAAATTATTCTGAAATTGAATTAAACTTAGGGGGGAAAAAAGCTAATCAAGACTTCTGTATTCAATGACAGGATTTCTTTCTAGAAGATGGAAAAAAATGAAAACTGGGATGCAGCGCAATGGATGGCATGTTCGCTGACATTCTTTTTAGCAAAAAGTCTCAAACCTAACTGTTGGGGTTTGAGACAACATGACAACAAAAGGAACAGCTACACAGCCACTCACTCAATTCCCCCTTCCACACACACACACTGGGATGAGGAGGACAAAGCTCATGGGTTGAGACAAAGGATAAGGAGGGTTCTTCACTGATTAAGGTCCCAGGCAAAACAGACTCAACTTGGAGAAAAATAATTTCATTTCACACTAATCAAACACACACAGGACACAGACAACACAAAGAACAGGTCTTGCTTATGTTACCCCACCCCTCCTTTCTTCCCCTAGGCCCAAATCACTTTGTTCCTGGTTTCTCTCCCTCCTTCCCCGCAGCGGCACAGGGGGACAGGGGATGGGGTTTAGAGTCAGTTCACAGGCTTGTGTTTCTTGCTGTGCCATTCTCTTGAGGAAGAAAGAAGGGCATCTTCTTCTCTTTCTTCCTCACCAAACATCAGCACTGCTCTTCTCCACCCAAGTGCCTCTCTGCTCAGGTGTTACAGCTGTTCTTTCATATGTTAATCACTGCGGTGCATCTATTGTTCCTCTAACAGCTCTTTGGCTGGAGTTTCTCAGCTTCTTACCAGACCCACTCCTGTGGCCCTTTCCCTGTTACCAAAAAAAAACCAGCAAACCAAACCAGAACACTAACTTTGACCGAGTTTATATATTTGGATGAAATTTAGTAACTAGCTAAGTTCTGCTAAAGTTTCATGTTCGCTCCATATATTCTGTATCTAAGCTCCAGACTTTCCTCTCATCCTTTTACCAATCTGACAGCTATGTCCAGAGCTGCCTAGGAATAAAAAGTGAGCAGATATTTCTTTGTCTCTCTCTTGGTGCCTTCCATATTGCATCAAGTAGAAAGGAAGAAAAGGAATCAGCTTTCATAGGACAAATTGGATTAAACTAAAGGAGGGAATACACAGAGACAAGGAAACTGCTAGCAAAGTACAGAAGTAAGGCTGATCTTAGAAGTTAAGGCAAATTGGTTTAAAGATCAGAGTAGATAACTTAGTGGAACTTATGCTATGTTAAGTTTTACTAGATTGAGGACAGTGAAGCACAAGGAGAGAGACAGGACAGAACTAGTAAGGATAATAAAAAAGGGAGTATGATTGATTCTTCTATGGTTTTACAAAGCTGTGCTACATAAGGTTGATATTCAGATTCCCACTTCTCTGTGGACAGTCAAGCAGCTTAGAAACTCACTAGCAAAACATAAATCTTATAGTTGTCAACTGACTGACCTATAGAGGGAGTAATCACCTTGATCATGGCTATAAGGTACTTTTGCTCAAAGAAGCAATGTGTTTATATTGTAAATGTAAAGAGTTTGATTGAGATGAATATGTCATTGATTGCATGCAAGGAATTTGTTTTTTTCTTTCTGTTTTTCTCATTTTTTTGTTTTTCTAAACACCTACAATGCCACATTTAACCACAAAGATAAAACATTAGATTTAAAAAACATAATTATTCCTAAATTAGTAGATGACGCAGTTGTCTGTGCAAACAGTTCAGCTCATGGTGCACGAATGTTATTCCATTATCCTATTTTTCTACAAGACATTTTTCCTATGCAGCGCATGACTTGAGAAGTGCAGTGGTAATAATTAGTGCTGTGCAACAAAGCAGCTGTCATCTTTAAGACTCCTACTTCATTTGTTACAGCCTGTACTTCATTTGTGTACAGAAGTTGTTAAGGCACGAAAGTAAGAGAGGAGAATAGTCTCAAGACTACTATGACAAAAAGCTACATAACTGTAATTGCTACAGAGGTTGCATTATGCTGAGGAAGTCATATAAGCTTATAATGTGGGGTCACTCCTTTGGTCTTCATTCTCCAAGTGTTCTACAGGAGTCACACAGCTCTATAATGCTGTGTATTTGGCAAAAAGACCCACCAAAACACATCCTAAACAGTGATTGTGTCAAAAAACTAGAGTACATTGAACAAGATGAACACCAACGTATGAATGTGTTTCACTTTTCTCTGATTCTCAAATATTAAAATGGAAATAAAATACGAATTCACTCTACGGAGTGAGGAAATAAACTCTCATTTGTGAATTACTCAGAGGTAATAAGGAGTTCTTGAGAAAAGCCAATGAGGAAATTAACAATTTTATAATCATGGCAAGGTTTGAGTAATACAAGAAAGGCAGATGACACACTAAAACTCCCAAGTAAGGACGAAACACTGCAGATTTAGTCAGTACCAGCAGGTTGCCTCTTCCCCTCTAACAGCTTAAACATTAGGCATTAAGCCTAAGATACTGAGAGCATCCACACTGAGCCACAAAAATAGTTCCAAGATAACTCCACTTAATGTAACTCCTTTGCCATGAAGCTAGAGGGAGGCTTGACAGTTAGATGACTGGTTTAACTTTGATGTTGTGGTGTTGGGGGATCCCCCACACTGTCATCTCTGAAGAGCACTGGCTCAAATACAGCACTGCAATTCACTAGGTACTACAATTCATAAGAAACCATCATAAGAAGAAAAAAAATGCACTTCAAGAAACATTAATAGAAATGCAATTAAAACTGGATATATTTTAATTCTGTTACTAAGACATTTAAAATTTTCCATCTGGAACAAGTACTAAGCAAATTATTCTTTATCCCAAAACAATCCTCTCCGTTAAGGTCTTCTTAGCTCTGAACCATCAGACATTGCCAACACCTGTGTTACTCTGAAGAGAAGCTGCTCATTAACAGCTGACAGTGAGCAGGGAGCAGTCATTTTTAAAATGTGACTGGTATCAGTGTCAACTTCTTGGAAGTCTCTCAAAAGTGTAACTGGGACAGGGAAATGTGAATACACATTGTAAGGACTATGTATATCTGCCCTCATTGGTAAGCACTACTCTGATAGACTGTGGCCTCTGCTACCCTCTATTACTTTTCATTCAGTGAGTTAAGAGAAGGTCGTAAGGCCTGAAGACAAAAGAAGAGAGTGAAAGAGGAACTGCAGACAGTATAATTAGAAACATAATTAGAGTAGATTTCTTTTTCAATTAAAAACTGTGTTGCACAGCAATCACACATACTGTAACAGTTGTAGGTGAAAGAGAGAAACATGTCACCCCCCTCCCAGTTCACTCTCAAGCATCAAGCTTCTATGTCGGATTTTTACTGGCCCAGAGCATGTAAGAAAATTTCCAAAGTAACTGTTTGTTAGCCTGTGGTAGTCTAAACAACCCCTGCAGAAAAAGACAACTAAATTACTCCAGATCTTTCTAAGTCAGGAATTAATTAAACAAGCTGTCAGCTTATGCATCGGGGGAGATAAGGGTAGTGAGCAGCTGGAGGTTAGTTAGGGCTGGGAAAAAAGTAAAAGAGCACAGCTGTAATATAAAATGTGTATGGAGAGGGGAGCTGACAGACTCTACCTTTAAATGCTGAAACATCATATTGGAGAACTATGAAGTAATAGCTTATATGGATTTTAGTATGCTCACCTCAAAAATCTGTTGCCAAATAAAGAGAACAGTGAATTTCCTTACATGTAATGTATCAATAGTTTTCCTTAATAAGTTTATATTAAAGACAGATAGTAGAGCTGAGACACTATTAGGTTTGTGTTAAAGAGGATACACATCTAACTTAGCTGACAGTGATCTTGGTTTTTTAACCTGTACTTCCTACATCTCAAAAAAATCCACTATTAATCTTCCACAGACATGCAACTTATCAATTATTTAAGCAGGCTTCTTTCTACTTTCTCCTTTATCACACTTATGTGAAATGAATCAATATGTATTTTGATTTCAGAAGCAATAAACATGTTTCTAACTCCACTGGATTTCAGAAACTAGTATATCTGTGTACCACTCACCCTGCTGGATTCAGAGAGAATTTAAAATTTAGCATAGCTTTCTTATATGAAGTAAAATCAATGAACTTTCAAGACCAACACATCTTAGGTACTGATCAGCAACACAAGCTTCAAAATCTAAATATAGCTTAATCCCACTCTAATAATATATAAAGATGGCCTTAAGGAAGTTTTATACTAACCCAGAATACCTTAGCTAATTTCTCTCACAATGTAAATATTTACTATACACATGACTAACTGAAGCTGCTTCTGAATCTTAAGTTCTTACTTAATTTCAGTGTTTTAAATCTCAGTTACTAGATAAATCTTAGACTTTACTGTGATGTTTGTTTTTTTCTGTTTTCTCTAGCATATCAAACCACACATGATTAGCACTACTGATTTTTATCCCTTTCATCGCCCTTTGTACAATCCTAAATTTCTTAGATGTCTCAAGAATGTTCTATTTTACAAATTTCTATCTGGTTTCTTTCAGGACATTTACTCATTGAATTATCCTTAGAAAAAATAAAATATATAATTAGGAATGGTTATATTGAAAATGAATAAGTAACATGGTAAAAACATGTATTTGGTACTACTCTGCAGCTTTTTAAGTATGGTCCAGCATTACAAGACTTAAAGTCAGTTTCTGTAATGTGGTTCAGCTTCCCTATGCAACTGCAGCAGGCATAAGAAAAACATCAAGTAGAAGCAGTACCAAAGCTACGAACAATGTTTCCTTCATGGACTTTTGACACAGATAGGTATGGCGTAAAGCAGGATAAACATCAATTTAGATTACACTTACTAGAGTAACTCTGCAGCTGATCTAAAATACACCACAATAGCTCTGAAGTAATCCCTAAATTCTATCAGTCTGAAGACAATTAAATTGTGCGCATTTATGCCAGTTATATTTTGCTCATCTAGAAGTATTATTACATGATTTTTGTCAAGTAGTTTAACAATTTTTTAAAAAAATGCTGTTCTGGAGTTGTCATAACCACATTAACACTTTTAAAGACAGAGATCAGCTTAGTGCTTTGTTATTTGTTATAAACTTCAATTGTTTATTTCCAGTTTTGGTCCATACCATAACCATAGCTGTTTTCTCCATCAATTGCTTTATCTAATATTTCCATGGGTTGATTTCAATACATGAAGAATTAAATTCTTCCTACAGTTCTCTCACTGGAAAATATCAAGCATATAAACCCCCCACATCATAGTACATACCTTTATTCTATGAAACCGAACAATATCTCCAACTTTGTAAATTTTTGGTAGGGAATTTAGATTTCCATTAAAAAGAGTGCATGTTAACTTGACACTTGATGGGTCCACAAGTGTTACAACTGAGCAATAATCTGTAAAATATAAAAGTGTTTGAATGAATAATAGGCATTATACAGTTATTAATATACAGATATTAAACTTGGGATGAACAACCATATGGCCATTATTTTTCTGCTATGATCTGTATAACTCTTCCAAAGACAATTTACCTACAGTCACATAACAACTGAAGTGTGGCCCATCTTGATCATAATTAGTCCAAATAACTGAAAATGAAATGGATAATAAGCACAGGCCTGTGAGCCAGGAACACACAAAACTTCTTCTGTCTGCAACAGGCATGCTATTTTTTTAGGTTTCAATTATTTCCTCTATAAAATAGGGAGGATATGTACAATCTTGTACAATCCTTTTCTAAGATTTATTTTTGCACTGTCTTCTGAAGAGGTAAAGAGTTCTACAAGATATAAAAGCAAATTAAAGCACATATCGTTTATCTTTCACCAATATATGCAAGATAGACACTGCAAGGATACAGTCACATAGTAGTAGCTAAAAGATACAGTAAAAATCTGAAATGAGCTCTTTTGAAGTTAAACTTGAGTAATAGAATTTCACTTATATTAATAACCTAAAAAGTAAACTCAAAGCAAAACACAAACATGACAGAGCAAACCAGCCCAGAATAGGACAGGATTTGCAATGACATAAATAAAACCTGTATTTTCAGATTAAAGAAGCTTGTGTGTCACCATCCCTGAAAGTATTTAAAACATGTGTAGATGTGCCACTTCAGGACATACCTGTGGGCATAGTGGGGTTTTTTTTCTGGGTTAACAGTTGGACTCAGTGATCTTAGAGGCCTTTTCCAACTGTGACGATTCTGGGTGATTCTGTATGTGTACGCTCAGATATGTTACTAACACATTTGCTCTTCCACAGCACGGCAGCCAGTTAATCTGCCTAAGAGCTTTTCAAATATCCAATATCAACTTGGCTGTATATTTAGAACTTCAAGATCTGCACATCTTGTCCTAGTTGCTTTTAATCAAGCAGATAGAGTGCTTTTGTTTAGGATACTAGCATTTACTGAAATGTAACAGTTTAGGCATGAGTTACAACTTTTTTTCAGCAGATCAGAGGAGCAGTGACATCATAACCTATTCTTTTTACTTTGATGAAAACCTTGATACATTTATGTATAAAAAATTTTGGTTTTTAGAAAGCAAAACCTCAAAATTTTAGTCATTAAGTTAACTGTACTCAATGTGCAGCATTAGTAAGATTGGCAAAATAAATAAATAAATAAATTTGTATTTTTTCCACACTGGTGTAACACTAATTTACTATTTCTATTCGTATTTTACTGTAATCTAAGAGTGCATATATCTAAACTGTTTGCAGCAGAAACAGTACTTCAGACTCGAAAAACGGATTAAATCATTCTGCTATTATTTATTCTGACTGAAAAAGTTAAAATCACTAGATGTGAATGACCCAAGACACCAAGGCAATTCTTCAATTTCCCAATTCCATCTCTTTTAACTCACCCTGATGCTTTCAAAAGCCAGTTTTAAGAACAGAAATTTTCATGGTAAATAGTAGTTTATTCATACTTCTGACCTGCATATGAAATGCAGACATTCTAGAAGCTGGAACAGTTTCTGTATGGAAACCATTTGCTCCTGCTCTGTTTTTATTATTGTGGACCTCCAATTAAACTAAGTTCTCCAACAATTGCTTTAAACAGGAAATACACAGAGATGCTTCTGTCTTGCATGCTTCTTATACCCTCTCAGAAATGTCTTTAATGTTCCTTAAAAATACAATTATTTTAATTTGTTAATTCCGTTTTTATTTAATCTCATTAAAAAACCCACAACTATTTGGTGAAGCAGTTTTTTAGAAAATAAATTTAGGCAACAAAGGAATTCTTTACTATCACATGGACTATCTTAAATCAATATAATTCCAAATCAAGATCAGTGCAAGGTTACAGTAGCTACATGGAGAACACTGATCTCTAAGCTGTGTACAATTGTAACAGTAATTTAAAAACTAAAGTCTCCTCTAATTATGGTTTAGGTTCATTCCTTAGATTATAGCTTTATTTTTATAATGCCTTTGCATTTCTGCTCTTTTGTGGACTGTTACATCATTTTCGCTTTACTAAGAATTTCAGTACTTCCCAACAAATACGCTTGTATCAACAACTGTTAAGATTGTAAGCACTGATCTAATTATGAATCCCCTTTTCAGGCAATCACAAATGTACTCCAGAGGAACATTTAAGTGGACAACCCACTATCCTAGATCAATAACTTTGCCCTGCAAAGAGATAAGAAGATGTTGATGATGTTGTTTGTAAAAAAGGATGGGAGACTGCCTTCTGTTTCTTTATTTTGTTACACAGAAAAAAGAGTGAGATTATTGTAGCCGACTGTTCTCCCTTCAAAACTACACCAAATATTAATGCTGTTTTCTAGAGTTACTGAGGCCATTCATTACACCAGTGTCTTTGTATTAAAACCAAGCAATTGAATCAGCTAACTTATCACATATGTTCAACCAAACACAGCAAGAAAAATAATTAAATATATACAGATCCTATATGTGGGTATATGTACATACACACACAGATACTGCAGAAGCCCAAAATAAAACCTCTATAGAATCAAACTGAGGATGCTTTACTGCACCTTGTTACTTCTAACATGGAGATACACTTAAGATACAAACACTCAGTAAGTACCAGAAGCATCTGGCTAAACAGATGCTTTAACGCCACCATTTGTAAATTGTAGAACAAACACTTGAGATTGCTTTCTATTAACTATTTCTTCCACTGTGTACTTTATGAAAATGCTACCCTTTTTGATTCTAAGAAATATTTCAGAACAATAAAATAGTTACTGTCCATATGCATGTCTAGGTGGGCTAAAATTCCATTTTAATTCAACACATAAGATATGAATAGACTGCATATATCTAAGAGAACATGCCATGTGGAGCTTTCCCCAGGAACATGATGTTACCCTTACAACTTATTTGTAACCAGCAGAAAGGATTCTTCTTGCAATAATTCTTCCCTGCATTATGGAAAACACTTACTAATACCTGCAGGAAAAAAAGAGAAGTTGGGGAAGCAATAGCATCACATTGTAATGTCCCCAAAGTTTCATGGTCAAGCACGTAATCTCTGTAATTGGATGCTGCAAAGACAGGGTCTCTTTCTCCTACATATATTTACTGTTTTTACTCAGGCTAAACATCTGAGATGTCCTTGGGCTTACAGGAGAGGAGAGAGGATAGAATCACCCTTGCTAAAAAATGTAAAATATCTAAGACTCCTAAGCTATTTAGGAAGCAATGCTAGAATATAAGTTTGAACACTTCCACCAAACCTTCCAACAGAGAGAAACCTGTCTGTTGTACTGACCACAGAAGCACTTCCTTGGCCAGTTTTTGGAACATGTAACATTCTCATGTATAGACATTCCAAACTATATGCCCTGAGCTGAAGAATGCTCAGTTAAATCAACTTTCTCTGGAATAAATAATAATTTATGATCATAATGAAAACTCATTTAATTCATCAGTGTTTTAAAATTAATTTAATGCAGTAATGGCAATTGAAATTATGAACAATTAATTATAGATTATGCAAACTGACAAGGCTAAATTAGGTAACACTTGCTTTCAGTGGGAACACAGTGCAAAGATTCAGCCTTAAGCTTTAACTTGTAAGGAGCAATATATCCTATGTAGGGGCACATCCATAGTGAATAAAGACCCACATGGATTAAGTACATGGGCTCCAGTGCCCATGCTTTCAGCAGGTATCAGCTTAAAGCTATGACTCTATTAACACAGTGTCAGAAAGAGAATGTATTAGTGCAGGACGGTGCCAGATGTAATGCGACTACAGAATTTTCTGACAAGTGCCATTTCATGCCCTGGCAATTTAGGGCAATCGCTGAGACTTTTGTACCCTCTCAAGAAGAAATAACTCTGGATTGAGTAAAAAAAAACAACCCAAACCAAACACTGAAATATTTAAATGTGTAGTGAATACTTTTATAGTAAACTCCAAATAAATTAAAACTGTTTTATAGATTTTCTATAAAGTGTCAAGTGAACCACACCTATCTTCATAAATAAGAAATTTTTCAAATTGTCCCTGATCTCCACTGATACTGTTGTTTTTGGTGGTTTTTTTTCTATTGTTACCAACAGAAAATATAGAGGGAAAACATACTAGCAAGTTATGACTAAGATCTAGGCAAGGAGTAGTTGTTATGTAAATATTAATTTTTCTTATTCAATTTCTATTATTTATGAAACTGAAGTGCTTAACTTATCAAATAACTCACTTATTTGTACTAGTTGTTTCCAAGACATAATAGCTTGAAAGCCAGTGCATTTACGTTTGTTTTTACGTATCTGCAGAGAAAGGCTGTCTTAACAATTTCCAGCAATCACTGCTTGTCTAAGTAAGATGTTCAAAGTCCTCAGGTCTACAAAGTCTTGTTAAAGTAGCTGGACAAATAACTCTAGATCACATAATCCTTCAAGGACTGTCCTTTCATTATTTACTAAACAAATAAAAGTAGTACTTTCTATATTTGATTAATTTCCTTCTTACCCTTTTTGTTGACAGGAATGTGAACAAAGGAAATAAAACCTGTAAAAGATTTGTGGGGCTTGTTTTGTTTGTTTCTTTGCCATTAAGCCTGAGTTTTAAACCCACAATATTTTTCAAGAGCACCATCATTCACCACTAGGAATATTCTGAATTATTACTGATAAAGCTAATCTTATCAGTTCCTTATAAACCCAGCTAAGAAATCTATTACAATTGCCAGCTGAGAATATCAGTGAGAGCCCAGCTCTGCAAATAAGTATATATATTCTATATATCTATATACTGCATAGATATCACAAAACTTATAGCATTTGAATAGGTCTAGAATAAGCAAATAATCACCAGGCACCGCCACAAAATGAATACTTTGAGAAGCTCACTATAGTGACAGACAGGGATTTTTTGGCAGCCTGTACAGAAAAGCCCAAATAGAGCATATTAATATTGAAATAATTTATCAACCTTTTACACTAAAAACAACACACTGTTCTCTTATTTGTAAAGGTATAGATTATACATGCACTTTTACAATGAAGTCTGTTACTGGTTTTAGTGGCGGGTCAAGCAGGAAAGAATGTCAGAGATGAGGTGCTCCCAAAAAAAGGGTATTGATGCCACGGGTGTACAGCTTTCAGCTATCTCACTGGTGTTTCAACTTACGTCATCGTAAGCAAACCTCAAGCTGGAAACCACGGTACTGCAGATACAGCACAAAAGCATTAATTGGTTTATCATGAGTGTATCATCTTTAGACTGCTGCTGGCAGCTTTTGAGCAAGTAAGATCCCACAGATCAGTTAGCAGAAGGTTTTGCAGATAAGCCACTAGGTCTTGGTTCTGATTTAATGCTCGTTCCAAGAGGGATAGTGATCTACTTGAGAGAGTCCAACAGAGGGCTATGAAGATGATTAAGGGACTGGAACACCTGCCTTACCAGAAAGGCTGAGAGACCTGGGGCTTTTCAGTCTAGAGAGAAGACTGAGGGGGGATCTAATTAATGTCTATAAATACATGAGGGCTGGGCATCAAGAAGGCAGGGACAAGCTCTTTTCGCTTGTGCCCTGTGGTAGGACGAGGAGCAATGGACTCAAACTCAAGCACAGAAGTTCCACCTCAACATGAGGAAGAACTTCTTTACTGTGAGGGTTACAGAGTACTGATACAGGCTCCCCAGAGAGGCTGTGGAGTCTCCTTCTCCGGAGACTCTCAAGACCTGTCTGGATGCCTTTCTGAGTGATCTGCCCTAGTTGTGTTTGGTTTTCTGGTCCTGCTACAGCAGGGGAGTTGGACTCGATGATCTTCGGAGGTCCCTTCCAACCCCTAATATTCTGTGATTCTTATATTTCTGTATTTTGAAGACAAATTTATGGCTATTAACATTATTCAAAAAACTTGCAGACATAATCAAGACCAAAAAAATCAACAGTCACTATCATGCTCTATTTTTTTCTTTCTTCTATTAGAAATAAATTCAGAAAGGAAAAAAACCCCACAGCTTTAAAGTGCACAGTAAATTTATAACAAGCAGAAAATACTTTGATTATTTCTCAATCAAGTAAGAAATTCTACTGCCTAATCAAATTCAGCAGGGATATTATGCAGCTGTGTACTTAGTACAAACTTCTAACAAAACTAGCACAATTGGTAAGTGTTCACAGCATAGACAGGAAAAATAATGAGTTGTTGCACAGCTTCTACAAGTAATAAATATGTTGGCATTGCATTTACAGCATACCATAACACTTACTGAGAAAAATCTCAAGGAAGAATTGCACACAGTTACACATTAATCCCTTCTCTCAAGGAGAGGGGTGGGACTTTTGTACTTTTTTTAACAGGTTCTTTTCCGTGTTGAGTTTTGTACTGGTAGTATTAGTTTGAGAATTACTTTCCTCATTTGCTATCTCCACCAGTCTGCCTAAACTGACTTTGATATCCCTTACCTATTTGTCGTTCAGTTGTTCTTGATGTTAGCTCACAACCATTTTTAAAGGACCACATACATTTTTTGTTCTGGTTGGTTTTTAACAAACACAGTATGAAAAGTTGTTTGGACGAGATTTTAAATCTTACAGTACATACCAGTTCCTTTGCTTACATATGGAGGCTTGAAGAATTTCACAATACCATACAAATTCACTATAGTTCCATCTTTGAGATGATCCAGAGGAGTATACACATATTTTGGTGCAACAGACTGGAAAGGCATGATAAAATTAGAGAACAGAAGGAAAAAATATTCAAACATTTATTCACCCAGAATTTTATATTGAACACCATCCACCCTCTGATATGCTTTATTTTGCCTTCATAAAGGATATCTATTTTTCTCTATCATATTCACTTTAGAGTCTCTAAAGATAAATATATATATACACACACATATTCACAGACAATAAAGCAGTCAAAACTATTTCTTTTTGTGATTTCATCCTCCTTAAAATAAGCTAGTCAGTTCAAGTAAGTTTCAACACTTGACACTGCTAATAAAAATAATTATAATAAAGAACGATGCAAAGTAATTTGTTACTGATGGGTTTTTACATGTTCATCCAAAGCATTTTTTAAAGCATATACAGAAATAATTTTGTAATTCTTACTGGCAGTGTCACCACACAGAATCACTGTCTTGTTTACCTCTCACAGCCACCCTGTGAGTCTTCTATTAACAGCACACTCGTTGGAAGATTAAAGGACTACCTTCTCCTATTTAAGGAATAGTCTCATCTAAAGGTTATATTATAAGTTCATTAGTATCTTCTAAAAGTTTTGCCAAACTGATTGAAAACTCTACAATTGCTATGAAACTCTTCATAAAATTAACTCAAAGCCAAGCTATATCACCTTCAGTACTAAAACTTTAACCTTACTAGAAAGAGCAATAAAATTTCATACTTCAATTTCTAAACCTTTAGTATACTGTTTCCCTATTAATATACTATTTAATATATTATTTTCCCTCCTATTTCCCTACTTGCTATTTGAATTTAGCCACACAAAGGCTTTCTCCAAACAGTAATAAAAGCAATTTCAAGACCAGTACATTAAGTCTGATTTTAAATCAGAGGAACATTTATATTTTCATTTTTGAAAACACAGGCATATGATAATCTTTAGGACAGTTACCTTCTAGCTAGTATTTCCTAAACAACATGAAGACTATTTTGAGATTGAGATGGGAACTACACTGCAAGTACAGCAGAAGTACTATTATTTCATATCTTATTCTGTTTTTCAGGCATATTATTTGCAAAATTAAAAGCTAAAGAAATGACTGCTGGACGAGCAAGGAAACAAAAGAATTTAACACCTTTTTAGTTAGTCTTATATCCCAAATATAAACTCACCATAGATGCAGTTTTTGAAGCAGCAGTTGGTTTTGGTTTAGTATAAATCTGAGGAAAAATAACAACAAACTCTCTGTTTACAGAATTGAAGGCATTGCAAAGTAACAGTATTTGATAACTCTTAAGTAAAAGCAAAGTAAAACAGCAGTACAGCAACTTTTGCTATGTGAATCACCTCTGCAAACAGTAAAATTTTATCCTACAGAAAAAAAAAATAATCAAAATTACCCCAACTGTAGTCAGACAAAAGCTACTTTGAATAACACATATTTTCTAAAGTAGAAATGCACTTAGTTGAATGTAAGTCAGGTCACATTAGTAAAGTGAGTGTTCAAAAGTCACGGGCCACAAATGTAAAACATTACTTGCTCAACAGAAAACCGATACGAGTTTAGATTTGGCTTAGAGCAGGTCTACTTTCACTGACTTATTAGTCTCCTTCAGAGGGAAAAAAATGAAAAAAAAATTGTCCAGGCAAATTCACCAGAATGGGATAAATTCTATCTAAAATTAGTTCCTTTTAGAGTCACGCTTATCAGCCAGACTTACTTCAGAGTATGGTCTTTCAAAATCTCTCAAAGGAAACAGCATACAGCACAATGCCACATCGTTCCCCAGTAAAGATGCCATTTCCTTTTCACTGACTACAGAATACAGTTTGAAGCATCGTCACCAAGAACTCAGTTCAGTGCTGCTATTATTCTTCTTAACAATAACAGACAATTACAATGATCCAAAACCTGTAACACTTTCTCACCAGATGCCTGTAGCTGTTGGCATAACTTTCACAAGATATACTAGAAACAGCCCACTGAAACGGCCAACAAAATTTTTGAAACCTTAGTTTCATTCCACATCCAGTCCCTCTCCCCAGTCCCCCAACGACAGGTTTCCAAATATAAAACAATATCCTAAATCTTCTGTGAGTCCTATAAATTCTAAAATACTAATGCTTAGGCTTTAAAAAGGCTGTAGACACTTCTTGAAGTAAAAACAGTATCCACAACAAACATGCCCTGCTCATGTATTGCCACAGACAAATGAAAGCAGCAGCAGAACACTCCCTATTTCCACTCCTGTATCTTAACAAATGGAAGCACTTAAGATGAACAGTATGGATGGGAGAATATTACAAAAGAACAAGTATTTTCCTCAGAAAAAAGGGGTGTAATTCTCTCTTAAAAGTAAAGAATCTAGGAATTCCCGTATTTCAAATATCATATAATGATGCGAGTTAAAGCAGTTAACAAACAAGCAAAGAAGAGGTTAAAAAATTCACAGCCCAGAGAAAACAAAAAAATGATAGATCTAAGACCACCTCCCTTCCACCTTGTCTGTATTAGTGCAGTGTTGCACACAAGAATGCCTTCAATGGCTCTACATACGGACCTAAAGCCAGCCAGGGTGAAATATCAACACTCAGACAAGCAGAAATTTACCCAGACGCTTGAGATAATGGATGGGGTATAATAAAATTGTATGCAAACACACACAAACATGTTCTGATTGTTTCCTGATGGACATGATAAAATAAATTTTAGTACTTCAGATTCTGACAGATTTTACTGCTTCTTCTACTTTAAAACAAAACGTTAAAAGTTGGCATTTGGGGGAAAGAAAAAAAAAAAAAAAAAGAGATAAAAAGGTTGGATACCCACGTACATAAATGACTGATCCAGCTTCTTCGGACATCTCCAGATGGCAATCATGTCTACCATCCTCTCTTGCTGTAGGTGATTTTGCCAACTTAAATCCTGCAACTACTAAGGTGTCCTACGGGGACAGGTTGAAAAACAGGTAATTAATTACATAGGCTGTATCACGTACTCTTTTTTAATAATATGTGATGTGAAATTTCATCCTAAACTCTAAAGATATTCAAGAAACAAAAATCCTGAACCAATCCTAAACCCTGCCTTTAAGTTTCTCTGTTTAGTTCTTCCCAGAGAATTCACATTTTCAATCAATGCCAGCCAGCAGAGTGCTAATTTTGACAAGGGTTAGATGGGAAGAGTCACATTGAGGAAAGCAAAACATTCTTTCTCCTTCAAATATACTTAAGACCAACTCCTTTCTGGGTAAGCTTAAATAAGCTAGAAAAGGAATCACCCATCAGATCAGCGGTGACAAAACACTTCTCTGAGCTTATTTCTTATTGGGTTACAGCTGTACTTTGAAGAGACCCTCCTTGTAGGTATTTTCTGTTTTGGTTGGATCACCATCTGCCAATTTCTTCCTTAAGGGTCAAGTAAGTAGGTCAATCAACAGATAGGCTTCTGATAGAGAGACATTACACTCTTCTCTGGCATCACCCCTTCGGTTCTGGCACAGGAAGCAATTGCATTTTGCAACTGCACTTTCACCTTGGTATAAAGTTCCTCAGACACCACACTGTGAACAAGAAAAGGATGATTTCAAGGATACTGATTTAAGTCCCTGCAGCAGCTCATCTTACTAGCAGCAGCCTTATCAAAAGAAAAAAAAAAAAAAAGAGAGAGAGCAAATGTATGGAAAAGCTTGTTTACAGTCAGGTGCTTTGGTACCAGGCACTACAGCAGGGCTGTACCAGTGCCATCCATGCCAACAAACATATTAGACACAGAAATCCATTTCTGTTTGACCTTCCACCAAAAGCACTTGCATAAGCTTTTACTGAATAACTTTTGTTCATGTGTTTATTTGATTGCAACAATAAAAGTGTTTTCTGATTAAAGTTGGCAGTCTTAGCCAAACATTGCACTATGAAGGTTGGGGTTTTTTTTTGCTATTTTAGCAATCTGACAATGCTACTCTAAATGATTTAAGATTCAAAACTGTAATGTTTTGTGCAAGAAAAAGAAAGGCTGCTAGTTTAAGTGACAGTGATATATCTAGTTATTGAAGTGCTTCAGAGAAATTACTGCAGAAAACTTATGTTTAATCAGACAGTTTAATACACAACAAAACCACTAATTATACCATGGTAATCTTCAGGTAGTGTCATAAATGGGAATACAGTGAATATTTTGACTAAAAGACAACATGTAAGTCACCTAAGTGTAAGCCATACTCAGAGCTAAGTAAGTTAAAATGGGTCAAAACAATTACACAACTCAATATTAATTGCACCTGCAACACATTGCCCTGCTAAGGTACATTAAAGTTGTTTCATTCTTTCCATATACCAACACAAGCTTCAGGAAATGCAGCCATTTTGCAGAAACCAGGTGTTAGCATGTGCCTTTCACCATTGCTGATGCTACTCATGGTGCTCCTTCAACAGTGGAATCAGCCTTCAGCTAAAAATCTATGCCTGCTATACATTATTCCCATTTCAGCATTTTATTAGATTGCAGGCTGCGCAAGATTCTGTGACCTGGTTGCTGAGTCAGGATGGGAGCTCTGTACCACTGACTTGACTTGTCTTGTTCTGCTGTGTCAGAAGGAACTTTAGAATTGCACAGACTCAAGCCTTTACACAGGCTGATAATAAATGTAAACTTCTTTTTTGTGAATAGTATTACAACACCAGTGGTTACTCTCATGTAACATGCAACGTGACAATCAAAAAACACCTGTGAAAGGACTATGCAATTACAATGAGGAAAAAGACAGCATTATCATCAAAATCTAGCTTTACAGGTTAAAAAAAAGGGTATGTTCTCAGATTTGTAACAAATTCATGGTCAGCTTTGACCCATTGAGCCTTGCAGTTAATACACATTTAAAAAACTTACAAAAGGTTTGCACAGTACTTTGAAATTTAATGCTATATTAGTTTTCAAAGTAGAGCAGTATCCATTTCACAGTTAGCTAGGAGTAAGTATTAGAAGTTGTATTATAATTGGCTTGGGAATTACATTCATTTACATAAATTGGTGGCTTTTCATGTCAACAGAGGAGTATTACGTTGCGTGTATATATACACACAAACTATAAGATTCAGAAAATATTTTTATATAGCAAAAAGATATCCTATTTTTCTCATTTAAAAGAAATGAGAAATAAAGACAGTATTCTCCTTGATGGTTATTCTGTTACAGAACCATAAGGCCCTCAGCAGACAAGAACAAAATGGTTATTACTGGGTTTGGAGTTAGCCTGCTCCTCTGCTTCTCCTGAGCTAATTAGGTAAAGCTGTTACAGTATGGAAAGTATAGTAGGGAAATCTACAAAACCATTAGGTTTGAAATTCTAAGGAGTAAACAAAAACTAATGGACCTTATTAAAGTAATTTATTAATGGCTATAACTTTTTTTAAAAAAATACATTTATTTCATAACTGCCAAACTGCAGCTCTGCTAGATTCAGAAATCATTCTGTTGCCTTAAACACAAATTATACCAAAATTAAAATGTCATTTGAGATATGTGAAAAGTACTGTGAAGGTACAGTTCACTAGGGAAGACTGAATGCTGGTTTCAGTGCACTCTGGCTGTCTAGGGGTGGCTGCCTGCAGGTTGTGGTTTCCTTTAAGTGCTGCTCAGGGCCTTGTTCAAGATTTGTATTTTTATCAGGACAGTAAAACCGATTTGTTCTTCACATTTAAAATTATTCTGCAGCTTGTACATTTAGAAAATTATCTGAGGAACTTCCCATCCTGGACTTGCTGCCAAAATTCTGTCATATCGAGAAATTTGAAGGAAGACTGTCACTTTTTATTTTGTAAGTATCTGACAGCGGCAAAAGATGTTTCTGCCCTAAACAGAATGAGCGAATTTAGCTGATGTTAAAGTCATGTTTCTCTCTTTAGCTTGGCATATGACCAACATTACAACAAGGCTTTGATTCACAGCAGACTCCAACATGAAACAGAATACTGTCTGACCTGCACACCTTATCACCCAGTCCAAAGCCTCTCCGTGCTGTTTCTTCAAGCTCACACATATAAAAGGGCTGAAAAGGGCCATGCATCAATTTCAACATCAAATGAATAGCACAATCCCTACATGAGTTCTACTAAAAGGATCCAGGTAATTTTTAATCCTTGTGGGTAAATTAATTAGAATTCTACCTATATGAAATCCTTCATTCACAATCACTAGGTATTACTGACTTCTCACTCATAACTTGTGCTGGTTGGAGGAGAGGTACTAGATGCAAATAGAGGAAGATGTCCTATAGAATTTGGTTTTGCTCTTATCCAGACATTTCTTTAATAGACTACATACTACAGATAATGTATACTTCCCAAGACCTGCCACCATGATACCTGTCAGAGCAAGCATCTTTTGCTAGAAAATGTTTCTCAGAAAAAACAAGTTTTATCCCATTTAGTTCATGACACAAGCTCAATTACCTACTGATAGAAGCCATGTGGTAAATGATGCCAGAAGAAATCCTCAAAATATCAAAAAATCCTCACATTGCTAAGCAAGACTTCTGAAGTATTTCACAGATTAATTAAAATATAGTAAGCATTTAAAATATTTGCTTATTATTATTAATAGTATTTATCATAATTATTAATGCAGTATATAATGAAACAAATTATGTGATTGGAAATAAGGCAAGGTAAGACTGACAAAGAGAGAGAAGGGTCAATAAATTCATATGCCAGCATCTTTAACTTCCATGGGAAGTTCTCATCCTGCCACTTTTATTTTTTTAAATGCTGCACTAAGTCACAACTATAACTTCAAATAAATGTATTCATCTATTCACTAAACACTTATAAAACTGGTATATTTTTTAGCCTTGAATTTTACAGAGATAAATTCCACTGTTATGTCCTACATGTTCTGTAACATCCAACCCTTTTTACTGACTTCAAGTAAAATTTGTGAAGTGACAAAAATCTCAAAACAGTTACATCTCTTTTGAAAAAAGAGAAAAAAAATAAACATTTTTCTTGGGCAAGCTAGTTTATTTTACCCATCTGAAAAGGCAGCCAGTGTATGTTACCCGCTGTTTGGATTGTCTACATGTTAGAAGCAGTAATTAAAACACTCAGTTCTGTCTCTCTAATCTAGACGTATTTATCAAATTTGTATTACTTTAGTCAGATTAATAATGTTGAAAACACAGGGATTAGAAAGTTTATAGTGTCTGAGTACTGTAAGTGCATAATTATACAATATAGGTCACTATATAGTATATAAATGCCTCAGCTCTAATTATAGGTGTAATTCTTGAAATTAGCAGGTTTGGTGATGAATTGGTGCATGCATCTTTGAAGCTGATACAATTCAGGGTGTAAGCCACTATCTACATACAGGAAGATCACTCTCAAGGAATACCAATAGACTTTAAAAAAAACAAAAAGAGCTGGGAACTAAGCAAAAGCCATTATTTACCCTTAGGTAGAATTACATAAAATGACTACACATCTGAACTGGATTAAAATTCAGAGCAACTTGGACATTAAGTGATATTTTGATGTCATGCCATAAGATGGCTATAATTTTCACCGTCTTTCAACATACGAACAACCAGAGTTCTGGTGTACTAGTCTATTTGAGCTGAAAAACTCTAACAGAATTCTATCTAAGCCATTGCTATTTCCATATTTGACAAAGACCTTAACTTTTGTGCTTAACAAATATTAAAAAAACCCATGAAAACAAAGCCCTATTTTCTTCACTAAATAACTTTCCATCCTTTTGATGGAGACTTTTTACCAAGGCACATAGTGACAGGTTTGAAACTGAAGAGGGCAGGTTTGAGAAAGAAATTATTTTCTATGAGGGTGGTGAGACACTGGAACAAGTTACCCAGGGAAGCTGTGGCTGCCCTATCAATGAAAGTGTTCAAAGTCAGGCTGGATGGGGCTTTGGAGCAATCTGATTTGGGAAAAATGTTCCTGCAAGGGATTTCGAACTAGATGATCTTTGCTTCCTTCCAATCCAAAGCATTCTACAATTCCATGATTTCAGCATTTTTGCTAGAAAAAATTTACATAAGCAAATACTTTTTTGTTTTTCTAGTTCATATATATAGATTTGAACTGACTGACTAGACTATTTCTAATTTTGGTGATACCTATACAAAACAAAATAAGAAGTCAACATACATCTGTGGAAGGCAACTTCTAAAATAAGAATATATGTATATATTTTACCCCACTGCGCATAACTTTCGCACAATCCTCTGCCATTTTTCCATATATTAAGATATTGATGCTGTTGATCCGTGAACAAAAGTCATCCAAATCTGGAGGAAAAAAGCAAACGCAATTCTGATTACCTTACCTTCTTCAAAACCAAACAGCAATTGGAAGAGTTTTCCAAAATAAATTAATCTACAGTCAAACACTTTTCATTCCAATGAATCTACAAAGTGAAAATCCTTTCAAATAGTTAAACAACTGCTTCTGTGTGCTAACTATAGATGTATCAAGCAGAATGTTCTTCATAAGAGGACCATTTAAAATGTGCACATGTTGGATATCAGCGTACTTTAAACAGAATTGACAAAGATTTCCACTTGGACAACTCAGTGTTCTGTGTTAGAGAGGAAATATTCAATCACATTTGTTTTTTTACATTAACACAGATAGATTACAGAACTATATAAACTGGAGATATTCCATGAGATAGACATATTAACCAAGAGCCTTCCAGGAGGACTGAAGCAGAAATCATATTGTTATTTTAAGAGAGTTTTCTACCTTTTACTGTTTCAGAAATAACACTAATGATTTAGGTGCACAAACTTACTTTTTGAGGGTGTAGAGAATGTGGAGAAACTCTTGGTCCTCCTGAACAGCTACATGAAATTAGCAAGACTCAAGGAAGTTTTGTCTCTTTAGGAATCCTGAAGCCAGCAAGGAAACTGACTCAGATCCCATCAACTTTATTCACCTCTGCAAACACCAGTCACAAGCAATATCACCAAGTGGAATCTGCACCCCTCAGCCTGCTGTTTGGTCACAGCCACAGAATTCACAGAATCAGGAAGGCCTAGAGGTAGCACATGATGATCCTCTAACCAATGTAAGGAAGAAGCTGAGACGGGAATATAAGAAAATTCCAAGTTCCTTGAATCCAACATAGACTCACTGGCTGATTATGTTCTCCTTCCGACTAGACAGGGTTATGAATGTCGGGCTTAAAAGGGACATTTTTTTTTTTTTTTTACTAACATTTATTATACGATGAGCAACTTAAGCCTTTCAATGTGTTAACGCATCCACTGGTATTCAAATATGTGAGTAAACAGGTAAAATTCCATTCTTTAACTGCTTTGATTAAAACAGAATGATATGCAAATACTTTGCTGCTAATCAACATACTGACCTCCATTAAATGTGCACTTACATAGTTTATACCATGTGTCTTATGTGGTAACTGTTAAGGGTACAATATTTTTTAGTCCTTCTTTAAGATAAGCAGTTTAAAAAATACACTACTAAAGCTGTATGTATAGCTAATGCATTTTCAGGACAGTATTTAAAAGATCCTGCAACAAGCAGCCTACTGAAATATAAAGACTATATTGTTTCCATTAACTTACCTGGCACAAGTTTTAAAAAGTGTATTTTTTTAGAGAACCAACACTTTCAGAGAGCATTTTAAATATAACATTTTACTGAAATAAGAAAGGAGGTACTAGTGGTACAATAGCATGATGCAATTAAAATGTTTTGAGAAGTTCAACAATATAAATTTAAAATGTATACTTAAATGTATTACCTTGAAGAACAACCTTGAAGAAGTCTGTCCCATCTCCAAGTTTTGTTAATGGATAAGAAAGAATAACTAATCCCTAAAGAGTAAAAAAAACAAAAACAAGTTAACTAAGACAATAAATCTTCGAGTTACTGAAACACTGATAACAGCTGAAACATCTGTGAGCTAAAAAAATGTAGAATTGAAGTAGTAAGTGAAAATTACCACCTGAATTATTTGGAAAAAATACCCAAAACTGTTAAAGAGAGCACTGAAAAGCAGTATTTTTAGGATGTAACAAAGGAAATATTACACGTCAATACTATTTAGATGCTACTCACCAAAGCTTTGACTAAATGAAATACTAGCCATGGAAGTCATTTTTACTAGTTACAATAATAACACAAAGGCTACATTTTTAGTACAAAACCTGAAAGGTGGCTAAAAAGGTAGGGTGATCAAAATCTTAAAACACACAGCAATTTCTCAAAAAATATTAGCAAAGCATTACAACACATATGAAAAAAAAAATAAGTCAAGAAATAAAAGTTGTATATAAAGATAAATAAACTATGTGAAAAGCAAACAACTGTACAGCTGGGAGAACAATATTACAAAGTTTTAAAATGGTAGTGACCTATTGATTTTTAAATAATACAAATGCTCTGAAAGATGTTAATGTTCTATTAATTATGTAAAAATACTCTCTTCATAGTGAAGTTACAATGAAGCAGAAAACACAGACCAGCCACTTCACTGATGTTATTATCTCTTTCTAACAAAAGTTTTGTTAGAAAGATGGTATCTCATGAAAAGAGGTTCTTGAACAGTAGCAAAAATATCAAACATATTCTTCCATAGCATGGCAGGTAAAGCACTGTATTATTCTCAAAGATAAAAACACAAAAAATTGTTTCAATAAGGAAAACCAGAAAAATTTGAGGAGAGATTCTGCAAAGTGGTTAAGAGAACTACATAGACAGCACAGGAAATAAAATAAAATGTTTCTTGTAAATAGAAAGCAAGGGCAATCTGTCTATAAATGCACAAAAGCAACATTAAGAGGACAGTCAGGTAAATCATGATGATTTTACAGTACTCATATTCAGTGAGAAGCTTAACTTCGATACTGGGAAACACTTTCTAAACCAAATTACGTTAAAATACACAGCAGCAAATTTTTACTCCAGAGGCTTTTCAGAATAAAATTATTCCTACAACATGTTAACTGAGGAGGAATCCAAATCAAATTGAACCATTTATTTTAGTATACGCTTTATAAAGTAATACTAAGACTCCACAAATCATCCTTTTCCAAGCCAAAGCACATTTTCATTTTATGATACTAAAAAATAGCCATGTTGAATTGGATGAATATGCACTGTATTGCATTATTGCTTTCAAGACAGTAGTAATGCTTCATTTAAGATCAAAATTAAGATAAAAAAATCAATGACCATGTTTTTAACAGGTATGTTTCTACTTTTCAAAAGGAAGACTAATGAGCTTTGTAAGGGGACTTAACTATCAAATACTTATTTTAACAATCAGCATCTGCAAAATAAAGTTCAGAGATCTGTCTAAAAATACTTACAGAAAGGTTTGCCACTTGTTTTCAAAATTGCAACTTTGTTTCAAATTTCAGGTATTATACATAATTGTTCCTGCTGAGACTTTTTGTCTTAAACTGTACCCACGGATAAACAAAATACTACAGAATTTTTCTCATAATAGTGTTTGAAATGAAATAAACTCACCTCAGGAATGCTCTGTATTTACCATATATATTTTTTTTCTTACTAAAGAAATTTCAATCCACACAAGCATGCTGTTTAAACGCAGAGTACATTGATTAAATAGAGACTGCTTTACTTCTTATTTTTCCTTTTACATCCCAGTATCTTCCAGGGAGTTTTTCAATTCTGGGACCACATTCTTTGCTACAGTAGCCTGGCCTCTCTGCTATCCTTTGTATCCCCAACACCTACATTCTAGTTCAGTTCCTCAGCAGAAATGCACTGCTTTGTACATTCCTGAAATTCCTGGGCTCCATACTTCAACAAAACTTACCTGCAAATCCTGCACTGTGTATTACGTCCATAGACAAATTTCTTCCATAACCCTGCCCATTCCATATGCCACTAGACTCCCTCTCAAACTGATTACGTGCAGCTCCCCTAGGGAATCTGTCTCCTTCCTTATTGCAGCCTCATTCCTCAGTCTGGCCCAACAGCTGATTTGGCAGCTGGTTTTAAAGTTTGCTTCAGCTTTGCCAAGCAAAATCCAGAGGATGATGAATAAACAGGAGGAGGCATCAAGTTCAGTTAGGGGACATCATGACTGAGGATGAACAGACATTGCTTGTGCTGTGTTCCCACACATTTATATTAAAATTTGTACTGTTTGGAGGGATGCCAGAAAGCAAAAGTTTCCAAAAAAAGAGAGGACTGAGGCATACAAGTCAGGCAACAGCATCCTGGATGTTTTTTTGTTGCTTTTTCCCAGGACACACTAAAAATCCTCCTCTCCCCTTACAACCTGCTCAAACATGACCAGATCCCTATTTTGGCAGATTCAGAGTGACAACATGCTGTGCCACCACTAAGATATCCTAACATCAGTACATTCTAAGGTTTGCTGCAAGCTCAGCCTGCAGAACTGGATCTTCCTACATGTTTAATGGTGCATTAGCACCAGCTTTATCAGTTCTTCAGTTGCACTGTTTTATGCTAAGCTGTTTTAGCCATCTACTAATCCATGAGGCAGCATGAAGTTCTCTTACCATAAGGCAGAAGTCTGAGAAGGAGAATCAACACACTTTCAGCAATCAGATCTAACACTGACTGTATGCTTCAAATCATAGTCTGGTAATAATTGTACTGCTTTCCTAATGGAAACATTTATTTTGGCAGAAACACTTTCTAATTTATAATCCAGTTTTTTCTGCTTCACCATTTCTTTGTGAAAAAAAAACCCTGATCTTCCATGTCTGGGGTGCTTGCAGACATTAGTTCCTAAAAGCAGGAAAACCTTTATGCTCTGCAGGTGAATGGAGACAGAAAACTACACTGAGGAATAAAAACCTTGTTTACTAGCAACATTGGTTATTGATGCTTCCATTTGCTTCTTTACAAGACCTATGGGAGCCTGGATCATTCTCAATCAAATTGCCTCCTATCACACTCTATTGCTGCCTGCTTCCAAAAAGGGTAGATTTGCTCCTTTGCTTTACCTAACTGAACTCCTCCTGGCATTTCTTCGACACCATAATGAACCAGTCCAGAGAGTGAGAGCAGCATAAAAATTCCCTCTCTCCATCAATATGGATAGTCTTCTGCCAGTTTATTTATCATTAATGGACTCAACCACAGGGTCAGATAAGCATTGGAGCTAGAACTGGGACTATAAAGCTAGGGAAGTAAAAACATTTCTTTAGATACAGAAAATTATTAGGGCAGTTCAGCTTGTATTTTTAAATTTTTTTTTTTGCCATTTTTAAAGGATTCAAGCCACCTAAAGTTTTATAAAGAATTAGTTCGTCTTATATATATATATTTTTTTTTTACCTCTTTTGTTTTTTGGCAACAGACTGCAGACAAACCTGGGATGATGTTGACGTCCTGCCACTTAAGGATAAGGGATGATTGAAAGGATTTTCAGAACCATTCACAAAAAAAGTTAAACATGTTAAAAAAGAAAACCCTCAAGACCTGATACTGTGTTTTGCTAAGGAGACTTATACTATGGATGAAAAAAATTTTCTGCATTTCACTAGTGCACTAGGATTGTACTTCCAATCTGAAATACATTTAAGGCTTCTGTAAAAGTATAAATGCACACTTGACAATGATAAAAACCCGTCTAACTGTATCTTGATGCTGGTTGCTACAGTCATCTTTTCATAAAACTGGGTATTATATTGCTTCATATAAGAAAGGAAAACTGCTTTAGAAGTAATTGCTCTGAAATCTGATCTTTAACAGGATGGTGGTGCTTATTACTATTTTTATAAAAACAAAATACCATTTAACCTCCTCCAATTCTTCAGCTGTCAGCACAACCTTCTGCATATTAGTGTGTTTTTAAACGGGCCCACAGTTTGGAAATGAAGAAAACTTATAAAAATGAAGTATGACAATGTAAAGAGGAAGGGGCAGAACTGTTAATCAATGAAGTCAATAGCAACATGCAATGAAGTTCAACAGTGTCATAATTTAGTGTTGCTTAAAGATTTGCAGCAGACACACTTGAAGACATGCAGCTGAAGCAAGTCATTCAGCTGAGCTGGAATATGGAAGTCCCTTATAAATATACTAGGAGGTATTTCAAAATAAGCCAGAATTCTTTCATTAGTATGTTACCTGAATGTATTTGTTGGTAGGATCAAAACCTTCTTGCAAATGTTTCAAAGCCTCCTTCTGCAAATGGCTTGGCAGTGGAGTCTCAAATTTTCCTTCAATGATCTTCAGCACTTGAACAGGCATAGCTGCTTTATCTAAACAGAAAAGATAATAATAAACTCCTGAAGGTACTAATCTTGTTCAAATTAAGAGTTATTAAAAAGTGCAATTTACTCAGAAGGGGGGCATTTATCTATGTGTTTCATAAAAAGAAAGTTTAACCACATAAGACTAAAACCTTCAGGAGTGGCCGCATCTCAGTACCATGAATAGCAGGAAGAGAGAAAGTAACATTTCCGTGGCAACAGACAGCCATCCAAATTACATTTTGCAAACACTCCAAAACAATGCAAATGACAATAAAATATTGCTTTAGATATGAATGCAAAGGACAATGTAAACAGAGCAAATATTTTGTGTATAGAAATGCATATTAAAACCCAGAGATTCACAGGTCATGAATAAATCATCTCTATACCCAGCTCTTTCCCCATAAGGCAATCTGACTGCATGAAAGTAAAAAAATCTGTGATTTTAACTAGCAATGAACAAAAAATGTTCATGTGCAGATTAGAAATTTTGATTAAATGTCAAGCAAAGAAAATATAATAAAGAAAATAAGATGGGCATCTAGACATGCTAAACACAATGCACTGGAAAAAAGCTAAGAAATGTATGATTGTCTAGTGAAGCACAACTGAAGTAGTGAAGTATTAGGAGTTAAAACTTCCATAAGGTATCACTAATGCTAAAAATTATGCCTTTATCTGTATGTTTTCAAACACAGACAAGGATAGCATTATCATTAGCTTACAAGGATTTCAAGCCTCTAGTGAAAAGAGCAACTGAAGTCTTAGAAAGCTTTTCAGTTGAAAGCATCTGCTTCACACTACACTCTAGCAGGCTGAGAAGCTGATATATTCCACCTAGAAAGAGCCAACTTCAAAGTTAATCAGCAATATCGATCTTCATCCAGCAACACTATAATGAGCTAGGGAGATGTACAACATAATGGATTAGCACTTCTTTTTATTTATATATACATATTTCTCTGTTACAGTACTTGAACAATTAAATAGACTTTTCTGTTGGTTTTTCTTCCCCACAAAGACATCTAACAGCAAGATACATTTTGTTACAACTCAAACATCATTGTTAAAACCAAAGAAAGAAAGAAGTGAGGTTTAAAACCTCATCTCCCTCTGATGACTATCCTCAAACTCTGCAGCTCCCTTGCTTTCATTTAAAAAGAGCCTTTGCCTTCAATGAGACAAATATTCCACATGTGCCTTCAAGGTTACAAAGGAAAATTTCTAAAAAGGAGCCATTTGTAGGCTGATGCAGCCGGACTTGCCCACGTTATTCATTTACTGTATAATTTCACACTTCAGGGCACTTATATAAGTAATATTCAAGTAGAAAACAGATATATATATATTTTTTTATTTATTTTTTTTTTTCCCCAGATCTTAAACTTCTGTACATGTAAAACTAAGGTAATCTACTTTAACTGCTAACCATTGAGCTCCCAGATTCCTGTTCTCTGCAATTAAAAAGACACGAGTACCCAGCTATAAAATTTATAATAAGTATAAAAAAATAGAGCTATACAAGTAATTTTCCAAGACCAAACTGCACTGGCTTCCCAAATCTAGATGAAGGTATCATCAGTGCCATCTGTGAGAAATGGTTCTTCTTCTTCCCCACATAAGTCTAAACAAAATGCCTTTTAAGTCAGCAAAGCCTTTCTGCTGATTATACCCAGGAAACGAAGCAAAACCAGGCCTGCTGCTCAAGGACAATTAAAGCAAAACAGACGTGATACAAGGCAGGAAGGATGGGCAACAAGTTACACATTGCCCCTACTAGTTACTGCCTTAATTTAGGGCTCACGGATCCTAATTCTCTCTGGACAGTGACACTGAATGGATGGGGGGGGGTCACTGGAGTATAAAAGGCTGCAAGTTCAGGAGGTGAAAAGGGGCGGCCCGCTGGGACAATTCTTGCGTGGGACACCCTGGTGCTGCTCCTCGGACTCGCCTGGTGCCGAGACTCTGCCTGCCCACCCCGCGGATCCATGCGAGTCGTGCGAGTGAGCATGCCGGGGTTCTGAGCCCTGCAGCACCGGGTCCATCCCTCTGAGAGGCGAACGCCACGTGTGACCATCGGTCGTGCTCAGAAAGCCCCCGCATCATGGAGGAAGTCTTGGAAGCACCTCGGAGCCGGAAGCCTCGAGCTGCTGTGTCCGCATCAGCTCGCGACACCATCCTTGGCATTCACAGCTCTCCTGAATAGTAACTAACTGAAAGTAAGTCTGGGAAGCGTCTTGGTTGTTCTCAAAAGCCTGACTTCCTAACACTGACAAGAATCGTTCCACCTCGAATCTGCTGCCCAAGAAGTCTGTGGGTGGTTAATAAAGAAAGAAAGAAAAAAAAAAAAAAAGGGACTGCAAGAAAGACAGCATCATGGGACACTCCTGGAACTGGAGGAACACAACACACACAGTACAAAGAAGTAGGTAGAGAACTACAAACACCTTTTGTATTCCAATAGTTGCAAGTGAATACATGGAGAAAGAGAGCAACCAAAAAGCTTAATCATTTTAACAAGCAAAGAATTATATGAAAGTATGTACACTTTATGAGAATCCAGAAGTAACACCCTGGAAAAGAGATACGTATCACTTACTTAATCCCCTTAAATATAACACTGAGGATGGCTCTGGGCTTCACTTTTTTGTGCTGCTCTATCCTGTCCTTGATTTTCTACTTACTAATTTTCTAGAACTTACATTTTGACGGTGGAACAATCTACTACAACCTCATTTACCTACAGAATATTACCCTGTATTTCAAAAGCATAAAAAAGCCATCTTAAACCACAGTACACCAGAAAACAATTGCCTAGTAGAAACGGCCTTGAGCAAGAGTTAACCTTTAACAGAAATCAGCAGTAATTTTAGATTTATTTATTTTCTTCTGAAGTAAGATCCATCCAAATATTGCAGTAACAGAATGCCTCTACCTCTAGGTCCAGGAGAAAAAAAAATTTAAAAATCCTGTACCTGAAGGACATTGCCCTACCCTTCTCACTAGTAGCTTGAGATTTTAAACATCCACAGACCTCATTTAGTCATCTATGTATGGTCTGGTGTGCATGTACGAGAAGACAGAAAATCTTTCAGGTTCACAGTCTTTTCATCAGTTTACACAGAAAGCAAAATAATTAGCATTTCATTTTAGGCACAGCACATCACAGATACAAGCTCTGACAGCCTGGTAACTTTAGTGTTTAAGACAAAATGTACAGCCAAAGGCTTATTCACTTACAGAATCAGACAGTGGCTCTACAAGAGGTTTAGAGACTGAAATTTCTGAGCTTTGCACTGCAAAATAGTGGTAGAAAAAAATCCTGAACATACATCTTTTTGTGAAAGCCTTACATCTTCTCTCTAGGCTTTTAAAACTTTTATTATAATAAAAAAACCCACCTTAAATTATGTTTGGAAAAACAGTAGAATTTACACTCTCAGATTACTTATGACATCCTTCAGTACACACTGAAAAACATTAAGAAATCACAAGCTGCAACTCCAAGTGAAGTTAACACCACACAGCCACAAACAATACAGAAGTGTTGACGTGAACACCAGTGCACCATGACTGAAAGACAGGAAAAAAAGAAAAATAAGTCACACAGGAAAGGCCAATTTGTTGATATCACCAAGACAACTCATATCTATTCCTTGCCTTCCTCCCTGCTTCTGTAAGCAACATGAAATAGCCAAATTTTGTATGGCAATTAACACTGTAAAGCAGTACAAAGTTTCTAAGACATTTCAGTACTAAAAGCTGTAGGTAGCATGCTCAATATTAAAAAATATTCTCATACACTGTCAATATTAAACTAAAGGCACCAAGATGCCTTAAAATAGTCTAAAGCCTAAGGGAACACTTTAGCAGTGGAAGCCATCTCACTACCCATGACAGGCAGATCAAGTCAAATTCCTATTAGAATTGGGAATCACCCCATGTACATTCCAAGTATTTAAATTGGTGAATTCCTTTGAGCACTGAGAACTTCTAGGATTCAGTGAAGATCAATTGAGCTTTCACAGATGGTAACAAATCAGAAGGAAACTAATTTCACCACTAATTAAATGTCTCGTAGACCTCATATATTTAAGAACATGAGGAACATGTAATAAGAAGAAAATATGGTAATGACAGAGTTAAACTGCCCCCAAGAGCATCCTAAATTGTAAATCAGATGCAAGACAAGCTTTATAATTTTTAGTTCATATGACCAAAAATTCAAAATATTACAGGAACAAAACTCCATTGTAAAAAAAACACAAGCCCTTAATCCTTAAAAAAAGCATCACTGAAAATAAGCAAATTAATATTCTTCATCTTGACTGCAGAATTAACTTTGTGAAGGAAGAAGTCAAAGTTGGATCTGTTCTTCTGTTACGACATACCATCATAGTACTTGAGTGCACAGGATAGCAAATAATTAACAACTCTGTCTGGATTACTCAGATCCACCCCACACTTGAGCCTTTGCTCATGCCAGAAATTAATACTACTGGGTCCTAACTCCAGCTCTTACTATAAGTGGACACCGTAGCCTCCTCTGGAACACAGCTTTTCTTCAAGAATTAATGACAGATTAGCTTTAGAGTAGAAAAGCAGAGAAAAGAACTAATAGTGAGAGGTAAACTTGGAAGATTAGCCCCTTCTCTATAACCAATAAATACTTCAGTGACACATTAAAATGACATAACGAGGATTTAAGCCTTTTCAGAAAAAGAAAGATGTAGCAGTCAGAGGCATGAGAAGATTCCTTATCTCTCAGAGCAAACGCTACTTGCAGAGAGACACAAAGTCATTCTCCAAATCAGAGAATAAGTCACATGATTGTGTGGAACTCTGGAGGAAACCTTACCAAAGTTTCATGATAAATGAAGGAAGAGTCAAGAGCATCAACCAAAGCACTAGATATCTGAAGTCCCTATAAACACAAATCCTAGTCAGTGTACTATTTGTGCTAATTGTGCAAAAATTAAAACAATCATTAAATAG